ATTCGTTGAAGGTTACAGGGTTGCCAAATTTTTTGTGGGTTTCCCAGATATAAGGGAAAATGTAAAAAAAATTTAAGGCGATTTTTAGCCTGAAATAATTATTCATTAGTAAATACCGTGGTTATTCTTTTGGTTGACAACTTTGACAGCCAAGTGTGACGTCATAGCCCCCCACCACTCAAGAATCATAACCCCAGGAACTGACCGCTGGAGCGAAATCTCTCGTTTATCAAAGAGATTTTTTTTCGGAATGATCTACATGGTGAGTTGCAGTGAGTGTATATTTACTTCTTCCATTGTGCCAGGCACAGCACAACTGCAAAATCACAAAACACCAATACCAATCCCCAAAATAATAATAATAACATCAAAAAGCTGTAACCAAAAGATTAACCCAAGTCCAAAGCTGGGTTATAATCGGTTATAAAAATACCAAAAGCAAATCAACTGATCTGTGACGTCACAACTTCCCCTACTTTGGTAAAAACCGCGACAGCGGAAATGCATTGGTTAAAACCAAATAACAATCATTCCAGGATAAAAATCGCCTTTAATGAATATTTCAAAATCTATAACCTTTAGAAAAAAGTGTTTAATACAAAAGTTTCGAGATCCTTTCTTCTCTACAAAATGGCGTCATTCTTCTCTTCACACAGCTTCTGGTTGTGTTTACCTTTATATCTCGGAAACGAAAAAAAAAAAAAAAAAATGGCAGCCCTGTGAACTTATCTCCAATGGTTTACTAAAATCTGCCATTTTTGTTTAATTTAACCGATATCGTACCTCCTGTTTCGGAGATAGCAATAGTGGGATAACTTGAAACCAGTTAATTTTGCATCTGTGATTATGTCTGAATATTTCTCTGTCAGATCTCTTACATAAGTTAAACCAGACATACTTTTTCAATGGTTGATATTTAATATGAGGTTTATAGGTTAAAGTATTTTCTTTCAGTTTAGTACTATTCCTATTCTTGTCGCCAGTTTAGTACTTTCGCATGGTCAGGGGCCCCGCGGGGCCCCCAAGATCACGAGGCCCCCTCGCAACTGCGGGCCCTTAGTTTCGCCACTGGGCCGTCATCAACCCATTGTGCTTTGGGTAAGTTAAAGTCCCCAAATATGCAGAGCTTGTAATCAGGAAATGTTTCAGATAAAGTATCCACTGAGTCTGAAAAACACTTATGATTGTCTCCATTAGATTTCGGCGGTAGGTATACAGCTCCAAGCAATAGTTTAGGTACCATTAGCAGACTGCACTCTTGCAAATAACTGTTCAATGATTGAGGCTGTTTCACAAATGGAACTAAGAATGTTTTTCCGAATAGCTATTAATATACCTCCCCCCCTTTAGGATATGCTTGTTGCTGGTGTTCGGTCACTTCTGTGAATATTGTAATTGTCCATGCCATGCCCAATTCTGCCCAATCATCCCTCAACACGTTTCTGTAAAAACGAGTGCTTGGTATGTGACTAAGGGAATGGAACTGATTAGTTTGTCCAATTTAGTACGCAAACCACGCACGTTCTGATAGTATACCGATACAGAACTATTTAGTTTGCAATTACCTCTTGATTGACGGCTAGATTCTGAAAATTCCGGGAGGAATCAAAATCAGCACCAGCGTCATGTTTAGGTGTATTAAGTTTTCTCTTGAAGTTGAATCTACGAAGGATCACACCACTAGGCCAGAATTCGCAGGAGTTCATAACATTGTAGTGAACGGGAATGACACCAATTTTGAAAGAATTGGTTTTCCCTATAGTTTTAAGCTGATCAATAATTAAGTTGTCCTCACTAATATTTGGCAGTTTTTGAGTTATGTATCTGCGAATTTCAGCATCATCCACTGACTGGGCCAACTTTTCGACGTAAAACGACACCTTGTTTCCTTTTGAAGATATAAATTCTTGATTTATTTCGACTTTTGAGGTGGCACGAAACTGTTTCCTTCTACCACGGTGATAACTAACTTCAGAAAAACCATCATTGTCTCCAGCATGATTTAAATTGCTGCATTGTTGCATTATTGATTCGCATTTGTCAGCGAAGCATTTTCAACAATTTTTCTACTATGGCTATTGTTTACATTTTCATTAGAGGTTAAGGTCTCGCCATCGGTCCTAGCGCCGGTATCAAAATTACAATGTCAGCAGAAGATATATCGCAACATTAACTCGTTTAAAGTTTGAGCATGCTTGTTATTCAGTACATTTAAACAAAATAGGTGTACCCCTCTGATCAGTTTGACGTGTGCCAAGTAAGAGGAGACCTTGAGCACATTTTCTTTTAATGTGCCAAATATCCAGATCATATCCAGCAATTATATGACGCTCTAACAAAAAAAATTAAATCACTCATTATCGCTTGAAAATCCTGATATTTATACTGAAATAATGTCGTTTCTACATGAAACCAGAAATTTGATAATGAAAAATTGGCCTAATGTTTATCCCAATGTTTATATAAAAACATTCAACACATTCGTGACTTTTCATAGTATTTAAAGACACAAAGTATTCCCTTCTGCGAACAGGAGTAGTTAATTCTAATTCTGGTCATTATTGAGAATCACACCAATCAGAAAAAGTTTGTACCTTGCAAACTTGATAAATTTGTGTTGAACACTCTCAAGCCTATTAATGTGGATCTCATAGTAAGGTGACCAAACTATGCAGGAAAATTCAAGAACCTATCTGACTAGTGACGTGTAAAGAAGAAGAAAGATGGGGGCGTATAGTTGTTAAGTCCCTAGTAGTTCTCTTAATAAAACCCAAAATTTTATTAGTTCTGCCAATTACCACTTCAAAATGCTTGCTGAACATTAACCTAGTATCTAGATAGACACCTTACGGGTGAGTCTACTGAATCTTATACAACACTTATCATTAGGCTGACACCAATAATAAACAATGTTAAGATCGTTTTACAGAATAAGCATGTCTTGAGCTGACGTCACCTGACGATATAATTCCAAGTCATCAGCGAAGAGTGAAAAATTTGAGGTGAGCAACGATCCTGAATCCTAAATCATTGACAAATAAGCTGAATAGAAGGAGGCCCAAGTAAGAGCCTTGGGGTACCCCAGAGGATACACGGAAAAGAGAAAAAAGATAGCCATAGATCTCAATTTGTTGTATTCTGTTAATAAGATGAGATTTGATTCATGAAAGTAAAGGTCCAGAAACACTATAACTTGCGAGAATTGAAAGGATGTTGTGGTTTACCTTATCAAAGGCTTTACTTAAATCAGTATATATTGCATGAGTTTCTGCATCGTTATCAAATGACGAATTGATAAGAAACAGGTTCGTGTCAACCAATGGTATCAATAGATCTACCGGCTGTGAAATCGTACATGTGAGGTGAAGAGTCCCTTACCCGTTTTACCTATTTTTTATATGTAATAAAAGGTGATTACCTAGCATGGTAGTTGTCAATTATTGTGAGAATTTCATACATCTGTCAAAACTGGTGTTCCAACAATAAACTGACATGTTTTGATTGTTGATTTGAACCAATCAGATTGGAATTACGCGATAATTTGCACTAGTGCAAATTATCAGGTAATAGGGTACTTGCATGGAAAATTAAATTGATTATTGTTTATTGCAAACTGTAGGAAAACGAAAAAAAATCGTTACTTTTTTTTTAATTCGCGCAAATATGATTATTCCGGAAGTTATTCAAATATTAAGTTTTGTATATATAGATATACTGAGCATGTGCAACGTCACTAATTTATTAGATATGTGACGTCATAGGCAGATTTCATAGTGTTGCATCTCCGTAAAATTTGATGCAAGGAGCCTATTGTATAGTTACTGGTGCGAAAACTGGTGTTTTGAGATTTTTTGACAAAAAAATTAAATTTTTGATTTATGAAATTCTCTCATTAAATATAACTCGTGCAATGGAAATATATTTATAATTTTCGACAAATTTGCACTCATGCGTTTTTAACTGAAAAAGGCACTCGTGCACTACGTGCACTGGTGCTCTTTTTCAACTAAAAATGCATTCGGGCAAATTTCCCAAAAATTATCAATAATTTCCATTGCACTCGTTATATTACTATTGATACATTTTATGATTGTCAAGTTTCTAATATTTTCCCAATAAACCCAGAATCAATTCGTATTCCTGCCTTTGTACTGTGTGAACCTGCACCGATATAATTAGAGGACTGGTTTAGTTCCTCATTTCAGTGCTAGTGACTGATCACAATCTGATGAAATATTTTTGAAAGGATTTTTTCAACGCCCTGCTCAAATAATTTAGGAATTGCAGGCAGGATGCTAATAAGTCTGTACTTTGTTACATCATTCTTGCTGGCTGACTTGTGAATGGGACAAACAAGAAAGGTTCCACATTTCTGGAAAAAATCCAGAAAATGAGGGTTTGTTAATAATATTAAATAGAGGGAGATACAAACAACAAGATTTTAATAGGTACTCTGTTCGGAATACCGTCAATTAATACAGAAGACCAAGTCACCCAGTGTCACTGACACCCTCGTTTCTTCCACCCACCGATGCTTCATCAATTGACAGGCGATGAGATTTAAAGCAATTGTGTACTGCCAAAAGAACCCCACCTCCACGGTTTCTAGAACTGTTTATACTGCTACTATCAGAGGTCAAGAAATTCAGCATCACAGATACTACAGTCCAGCCAGGTTTCTGTTAGTGCTATCACTGAGAAAGACTCGGCGCGAGCAGCACAAAAAGCATCTTTGAGTTTGGTTTTTAAGCCTCTTACATTTTGGTACAGAAAGGTAGCATCATCTAATGAGACTAATTGTCTCGGTGTCCCACCTGAAAATTTTCTGTGGACGGTTTTGCCCCCATTCGACAGTAATGCCTAAAGGCCAGAGATTTGGATCTAGCAGGCCCTTCAAAAGTGATTCTTCAACAGTCTTGATGTCGATGTTACCTAAATACCTAGTGCCTAGTTCATAAAATGTCGATCATACTCAGTGGAATTAAGAATAAATAATGCAATCAATCGAAACTACACATCGATTGACATGTTGAAGTTTCAGTTTTATAAACTGCAGTGCTTATTTCCACCTTTTGATTTTGCTGCTTTTAATCAACGATACAAGTCTAGTCTTTTAAACATTACATATTTCACGAAAATATACTTACAGCAGCTTTTTGTTTAACATTAAAATCTATATTCGTCCTGACAGGTCTATGGTGTAAAGGTTGTGGCGGTCTAAAGTTGTTTCCTAGCGGAGCTTTGGGATGTTTGGCGTCGCCTTGCATCAGTCGCCGAAGACCGTGCATCTGGAACAAAATTCCCGTTTAGATTCTATACAAAATTTCGGGCCATTATAAACTATCGGGGCAGAGGGTAATACGGTGCATCGAGCGGTCCTGCGGAAACCAGCATAAAGGCCTCATTTGCACACCGCAATTGTACTAGAACGAATTAGACTCTCTCTCTATCGATTACGTTTTTTTTAGTACACTCAAACTATTACTACTACAATGTTCCACTGTATAGGTTTATGCTTAAATTAATTCAATTATTTCGTATTATTTTGGCCAATTAAAAGCCCGCCAATATTGTTTAAATGTGTTATTATTTCGGTAGGCGCTGTCATTGTTTAATGTTGTTACATAAAACATTTAATTCTCACTTTATTGAGTTTTGCGCTTCACAAATTGATATTAATTTTTAAATAATGCAAAGCTGCATTATTATTTGCACAATTATTTTTGAAAAGGTTTTTTAGAGCGCGAGTTTTACTTTTACGAGAGGATTTCGAATGCATTTCAGCATTTTGGTGGAAATAAACTTAGGGAATTTGATTTTGTTTTTCGACTGGATTACAAAAAGGCCCGTATAAGTCTTTCTATTTATGATAATGCGTGTCCAGTGTCCACGATATCTCAGTACGTTATATATTAAGTCAGCATACTGGCAAATTCCTATCACAGATTCATCAAAATTCGTTACCGACTTTACCATCCCGTTTCGTGGACTCTTCCAATTTAAGCGAATACCATTTGGTCTCACCAATGCTCCTGATGTCTGGCAGAGGCTTATCGATCGTGTTATTGGTGTCGAGTTTGATAATTACGTTTTTGTTTACTTGGATGATGTGTTTATCTGCACGCCTACTTTTGAGAATCACCTAAGAATTCTGCGTGAGGTAATCAATCGTCTCGTTTAGGCTAGTTTAACTCTTAACAGAGAGAAATGCGTGTTCTGTAAGGATGAGTTAAAGTATCGGGCATACGTGGTCAACTCTTCGGGACTTTTGGTGGGCCCTGACAAAATCAAGGCAATACTTAACATCCATTCTTTCAAGAACGTCAGCGAGGTAAGGTGTATCATTGGCCTTGCATCTTGGTACAGAAGATTTGTGCCAAATTTTTCTTCCGTTATCTCCCCTATCACCTCTTTAACCAGAAAGAACGTTTAGTTTTTATGGGACCAAAATTGTGACAATGCTTTCGAAACTATTAAGGAATATCTTGTGAATGCACCTGGTGCTTTCCTGACGGAACCCATGGCTGAAAAACGAAAATAGTTCTACAAACCATGAATAAATTCAGGATTCTCTTAGGTGATAATTGTTTAACTATCCTCAATGAAACTTCTACAAAAGCCGAGGAGAGATGATCACTCAATCATTGCTTTCGGTTAGAGAATATCAAAAATTTACCTTATAATTAAAATTTCTGGATCAAATGATGTGAAAGTCTTGCTTAAAGCTGACGGATCATAATCAAATTATGACTGATTTTCCTAATTTACAGACCCCGTCGCAAGGGAAATTTCTCGAGTGAAACCCACCCCTGTCGTGGTGCATTTGACCCAAAACTGCCAGGATTTAAGCGTTTTATTTTTCACCCTCCTCGGCGTGCTTTATAGGATCCTGTTAGCCGGTCGGTTGGGCACCCAAGACGATTACCTTACCTTCAAATTTTCGAAGGGAAACGAAACAAAATTCGAAATTTTCAAGGTAATTAGTTTTTAAACAAAAAATGTCGCCCGCCCCTTTGTCTATTGTGGATTAAATTAGGTACTCGTTCCGTTATGTAAACTTTAATTAACTTTCAAATTGAGGAATTTACGTTTAGGGGGAGTTTCGCCGTTGCTGTGAAATTCAAAAAAACCCACTAAAAACTAACAAAATTATGCATCGTCAACAATATCCGTTATAACGAGCGGTAATAGCCTCGTTTAAAACTTAAGTTTCCCACAGTCAGAATATAAGTTAAAGTTAACGCAAATATTAGCTTATGATAGAAATAAAACGCATTTAAATCGTATTCAGCGCAAAGTTATGAATGTTATATGTATACGACGGGGGCGGCGCGCCAACAGGAGGGGCTCGAGCGCTGAAAATTTATGAGGTTCCGAACATGCTTACACCCGGAAATTGAATTTATGAATTTTAGTTTAATTTCGACAATATCCACAAGGGGGATGGTTAATGTTACTCCTTTGTGGAAAGTTTGGCTTTTTGCATGAATAATAACAGCTAGAATAAGTTTAGTTGTGATTACCTTATAAATACATTTAGGACGAGGCAACTCGAGGCTATGATTAAATAGCAGTTAACATGGTAATTTGGGATTTGGATGGACATTGTCAACCAGTGATGGTGTTTGTTGCTGATAGAGGACCTATAATAAAATACTTGACTTATAACACTGAAAATGTCAGTGTACCTGTTATTTGATCTACAAATTCATGCCAGCTAGGAAATCCTTAAGTATTACAGTATTTTGCAATTATCTATCCAACATCATAGAAGAAAGGAATCCTAACAATCTTGCGGCTGTGGCTCAGTAGATCCGCTGTGAACTTGGGCGAGCAGGATTTGATGAACTGCTTTGCCTGTTGTTATTCTGGGGTTCGCTGCCACCAACTCTGGAACTATCTATCCAGTTCCTTATAGATTTTTTTTAGAAAGGCCTGCAGAGAATCCTTTCCGCTACGTTAAGCTTAGGACATCGAAGCCCTGTTAGTGCTCTTTTCTTTGTGAATGGGACAATAACGATTTTCTGCGGATAAACCGACAAGTTTTTCTCCCTGCACCAGTTCTCAACTGATGCTAAGAGTTTCAGTCGCGTATATAAAAAAACTTGAACTTACTCCTATCACTCTCTGCTCAGAGCAAAAACTTTACCTATCTTTTTATTAAACTCACTATAATTGTTTGCTTTCTTCATTATTGTTCTATAAAACAAGCAAGAAAATTAGTGAAAAATAAATTTAACTGATATTTAGTAACATTGCTATAAACCGATATAGTTTAAAAAACTCGTTTCCAATATCCATGTGTAACAATGATCAAAGCGAGAATTTGTAAAATAAAACTTTTCTATCAGCAAAATTCCCAAATTAATTTATATAAAGTGGTTCTCCAGAGACACTATACGGTAATTTGTATCCGAAATTGAATAATTATCGTGTCACCTGCGTTTCCCCCAAGGATAAGCCGGCGGAAGAGTAATTAATGTGATGCAATCGATAATTTTGTCACATTAGTCTCAAACGAGGGAAAAGTCAACAGACCCAACAAATTTTTCACTAAATCATCAAAGTATTTTAATTGAAAAATTACTCACGAAATTTGCAATAATCGATGCTGCATCAGCATAAACATTAATCAAAAACAAAATAGCGTTTTACCATTTATCAGTCGCAACATCTAAATTGTCATTTGCTACATTATCCACTATATACGATAATTTTTACGATATAAATCAATCGCTGATTTATTTATTAAAAACGGTAATAAACGGCCCGTGAACTATAATGATTTATTGACAAATTTTTTTGTTATTCAAAACGCCAAATTGCGAACGACATGAAGATTTGATGGCCGTAGAATGGACCGGGCGATAAAATGAAAATAACGGGATATCGCGTATTGCGATGCGAATTTTATTGTATAACACATTTCAATGTGGCGATAATAAAACCATATGATAGTAAACATTTTAGTTAAAAGCTATAAGATAATGTGTTTTTTGATAGATCTCATCAAGGTTACTTGAAAGCCACGAAATTTGTCAGTTGATTGATTGATTTGAAAGGGGAGCCTTTACAGGCAGCACATAAACGTGCATGTGGTCCATTGTGCTATCCCCCTGACAACAACCTGCCACCTTTGCACAGACGCTCGCAGAAAACTATCAAAAGTGTTGCATGTATGTGCGTACATGTTTTCAGACATCCACGTTCGTGTGTAACCGCCTCATGATCATTCTAAAGCTGGCCACAGACTAGCATACAAGTGCGTCATACATGTTTGTTATACATGTGTTTCGTCCATGTACGACGAGCGCTTTTAACCCACAGAGCTACACACTAGCTTGTCAAACAGGTAGTATGAAAGTACACGATGAACAGTGACGAACAATTTAATCTACTGGCAGCGGCGTACAACAATATTTATGATTCATGTGACCTTAACAAATAATCTCAAAAAATAAACTTACGCTGCGGGTGAGGTTACTGTACCTACTAACAATGTGTGCGAATGAAGAGTGAACACGGGCCACACACCGACACGCTTGTATGCAAGTATATGCCTGCGCGTGCATGAATTCCGGTCAGATCAGAAAACTTGTGTGACATACATGTTTGCAGATTTTTGCCCACATATAGGCAAACATGAACGCGCAAGCGTTTACGACAAATATGTATGGTAGACTGTGGCCAGCTAATAACTGTCTTTTCAGCGGCATCCTTTTCTTACCTGAATTCTTCTGCTCCCTACAATTGGAGACAAATCTCATGACCCATCCAATTAGCCGAACAATCTTATTGACGCTTGAAAAATATGTGTACGAATGGACCTTCTTTCTCTTCTCTTCATTTATGAAATCTACATCACCTTGATATTTTTCATCAAATCATTCGCTTACTGGTTTCTGAAGCCACAAAGGACCCTCCCACCATCTTCCTTTAGCAAGCTTCTTTCCAAAGCAACCTCTTGATAGAAGATCTACTGGATTGTCATCTCCGAGTACATGAAACCACTGGTCCTCATCAGTCAGTTGTTGAATTTCCTGGACACGATTCCATACAAAGGACTTCTACTCTTCCTCCAGCTTGATCCAAGACAAAACCGTTGTAGAATCAGCCCAAAAAAAAGCACTTCATAGGAAAGTCAAAATTATCTAAGACAACCTGTGAAAGCCTGAAACCAACCGTCGCTGCTAGCAAGTCTAGTCTTGGTATACTGGGTTTCTTCAGTGGAGCAATTCTCGACTCAGCTTGAACCAGGGATACGAAAGCCTTTCCATCGGTTTCTGAT